TTATTATTATTATTATTATTATTGGCGTCGGTGGCTTAGTGGTTAAGCTCTCGGACTCGCAACCGTTAGGTTGTGGGTTCGAATCCCATCAGGGGCCTGACGTTGTGTCCTTTGGAAAGGCACTTTGCACAAATTTTCCTCACTTCACCCAGGTGGAAATGGGTACCCGGCTATTGACAGTGAACGATCTTGTCAGTTTGATAGTGTTTGAGAGCGTGAAATCCGCAGCTTACACTGTATGCTTCCGCGGAAGCTGAGAATGTTTCTGAGTGTTCTCAGAGGGTCTGCTGGGGTAATAATAGTTGTAAAGCGCATAGAGCATGCTCTTGAGCATGGATATGCGCTATATAAATGCAATTATTATTATTATTATTATTATTATTATTATTATTATTATTATAACGTACATGATGTATAGATAATAGTATGTTCATTCTATTGTTAATAGTCAGATTTTTTTTAACAAGAAAAAGGCATTTGGTGGATTTCTGTATCATGTAATTCAAAATGTATATTGTTTAAAAAATGTGAAATACTTAAAAAAAGAAATAACCCATTTGTATAGTAACCTGACAAATTTCAAATAAGCAAAGTCAACACTTTTTTACAGTTCAGATTCATGCAACTGAGTATTTACTTCTTGAATGTTTCCTTTATTATTTTTATTTAACTTATGTTAAACAAATTAGTAGAGTATAATTTTGTCTGTTCTGTTTTGAAAAGTTGTGATCTTTGTATGTACTGTGGTCAACTTATGTAATAATCCTTGCCATAATATGTTTCTAGTGTCATGGTCTCTTTTTATTCTAACTCCTTCCATTTCTCACAATCCGATTGTATGGAAACTTTCCCTACCGCCCACTCGTAGCCTACATATAGAACCTTCTGACCCACCCACTTTCTAACCCTCCACCATTCCCCCAACAACTCAGGAAATAATCATTTTTCTGTTCTTTGATGCCCCAGATGGGATCATGTGTGTCACTGGGCTGGCTTCAGTCTGATTGGCAAAGACTCCAAGGTCAACCTTAATGAGATACGTCATGCCCATCTGGATCAGCTGATTGACAAGTGTGAGGCAGAGCTAGAGGAGGAGTCGGACACGCCCATCCTCAATCCAAAGGCAGTTGTGCCCAACGGTAAGCTTGGAAGTTGAGAGGACTTTGAATTTTATTGAAAAATGATTGTTCTCCAAATGTGTTTTGCTGGCCAGGGAAATTCGGACACTTTGTTGTTTAGTGGGCTTTTAAAAAAGATAGTGCTGAACAAAAACCCTCTTTTTCTCTGCACGCCAGCAATGAAAGTTTATAAAAGCTCAATATCTGACCGAGTAATGCCTGACATGTGGCTCATGAATCGCAAAAAAAAAAAAAAAAAAAAAAACAACAACAAAATAAACCCCATGTTTCAACCGAGGCAATTGTTTTTACGAGCATATTTGAGTAAAGCTACATAATATGAAGTTTTGCACGTTTCTTGACTTTTAAGTAGAGAAAAATAAGCTTGAAAGCCATGCTGAACACAAGGTGTCTATTTTTGGATGATAAGCTACCAGAGCTCGCTAACACCCTGACATTGTTTTCGTAACTAAGACATATTTGGGTTCATTGGTCATTTAAGTTCAAAACTAGTCGATTTAGACATTACCATTGCAATTTCCAGTTAGTTAAATGGATTTAAGGAAAAGGAAGTAGTTCAAGTTTAATTTTGGTTACAAGTTCATAGTTTATGGATTTGGGGCTGTATGTCGATTACAGCTATGCATTTTACCTGATTTTCTTTGACCGCACACATTTGTTTGCGAGAGTCAAATCTGTACATTTGTCCTTTATGGCATCAGCTGCTGCTTTCCACAATTGTTGGGTGCTTTTCTGAGGCTTCTGTGGACATACCTTGCACTTCAGTGCCTCCTGACCTCATCTGAGCATTGTGTGAATTAAAGGATTGCGTTCCTCCCTGTCTTTATCATAGTCAATCTTGAGGAAACTGCTACCCTAGAACTACAAACTATCTGCCCAGTGCCTAGTTTTGAGAAATTTGGCGTAAAATATGTTGAGTTTCTCAACATGTCAAGCTTTTTCGAATGCAATTCTTTGAATATCTTTATAATGATTCCGAATAATCTTACAATTTTGATAGAGCAGATAGAACATATGGTTTCTGACCTCATGATCTTAGTTACTCAAAACGGCCAAAAATGTCAGATAGAACGTTGTAATTCTGTGGAAGTAAAATGTTGGAGACATTTTATTGCATACATTTTTTTCGGTCGGGTCATTTACATAAAACTATTTGAAACTTTCCTTAAGCATCTACTTTTACGCTACTTTTCTGCAAAAGTACTGTGATGATGCTCCTGTGGAAGACTGACTTTACAATATTTTTCCATTCGATGATAATGATGGTGATAATGAACAAGTGGATGCTTTTGTTACTTCAGTGTTGTTTATTGCTTTTTCTACCAATTTTCCTGATTTTGGGCTAAATTTTGACCTACTTTTTAAAAATATGAACAAAATTCTCTGAACTATGTCCAAGTCCTCCTGTTCAACAATGATGATGGTGATGATGATGATGATGATGATGATGATGATGATTTGCGTTCACTGCACTATTCTATTATATTCCTTACCTCCACGCAAATGTCCCCCTGCCCCCCGCCTCTCTCTCTCTCCCTCTCTCTCTCTCCCCCCCCTCTCTCTCTCTCTCTCTCTCTCTCTCTCTCTCTCTCTCTCTCTCTACCACCTCTTGCCTTAGCCTACGCGTCCACCTACATAAGATCACCTCCAGGCCAAGCTAATGTACAAAGTTTTTGCGTGGTGTAGAAGCGACTCAAAAAGATCCGCGTCCACCGGCGTCAGACCAGCTAAACCTATTTTTAGCCTAGTGTGTTATGATTACGAGAACAACAGACAGCACAGGTGATTTCTTTATTTATTTACCACTTTAAAAAACTAAAAAGCAACAAATTATAATTATGGGAAAAATTGTTGGTAAGTTGGGACGACGATGAGAAGAAAAAAAAAAAAAAGAAAAAAAAAGTGAGGGTGGGATTCGAACCCACGCTCACAAAAATAATGTTTGCCTTCAAATGCAGACACACTGTTCACTCGGCCATCCGAACTTTCATCAGCGAAGGGTAAATTAAGGTATCTAGTGGACCGGCAGATAAGGTCTGGAGAAAACTAAAATTTGGCGGAAAATTGGAAGCACTAAACATTAGAGAACGTAGATCTAGATCTAGACACGTCCCCTGCTAGGTCTAACCTGGCCTATTTTTAGCTCCCCCGAGAACGAAATAATCTAGATCTAGATCAAGTGCTTTAATTTCATTTTTTTGCTGTTTTTCAGCACAAATCTGCTATTGTACAACATATTATAATGAGATACAACTTTATTGATCATGTAAAGTACAATGAAGAAGTAAAAATGTACTTAAAGATGCAAATTTCCTTCCAAAATGAGTCGAATCAAGGTTTTCTTAGTCCCCTGTACGACTGACCAAAAAGCGTGCATGCAGGAAAATCGCATAGTCAGGCAAAGGCAGTCAATGACTGACAAAAACAAGCTCATTTGCATGTGAGCTTGGCCTGCAAGTGACGAAAAAGCGCAGTGGACGCGGGGCCTTAGTGTTTCCCTTTGTCTGGCCTTTCCGATTTGTGTTCACCGCACCTTTTAGCATTGTGACATGTATGTATTCACTTTGTTATCTACAGCTAGTGTAGTCATTTATATTCTGAATATTCCTGACGAAGCCCGTTGAGGGCGAAACGTTGAACATGTGATTAAATTTTTTGAAATACTACCAGGTCTTAAATGTTTTACTATCTGCTTTATACAATGATGATGATGATGATGATGATGATGATGATGATGATGATGATGATGATGAAAGTCGCCAGTATTTTTTCTGCAGTGAAACAGTGATGATAATGATGACATCACCTCTGTCGCCACCATTAAAAATTTTTTTTGCTGTCTACAATGATGATGATGATGATGGTTATTATGTTGATGATGATGATGATGGTGATAATGATGATGATGATGGTTATTATGTTGATGATGATGATGATGATGATGATGATGATGATGATGATGATGATGATGATGATGATGATGATGATGATGATGATGGTTTTTTTCAGTTTCCAGTAAAGAGCACAACTTGTCCGTGCTGCAGAAACACGTGAGGAGTTTGTTGAAGGAACACTACAAGAATCCCAGAGTCATTACTGATCTAGTGGATCTGGTTAGTGGTGCTTGTGTGTGTGTGTGTGTGTGTGTGTGTGTGTGTGTGTGTGTGTGTTTGTGTGTGTGTGTGTGTGTGTGTCTGTGTGTGTGTATTTGTTTATGTGTGTATATATTTGTCTTTGTGGCTGCTTGTGTGAGGGTGTGTGTTAGTGATGTTGTGTATCATGTGCTTGCTTGTCTGTTTGTATTATATTAGAGTGTGGTCATATTTCTCTCTCTCTCTCTCTCTCTCTCTCTCTCTCTCTCTCTCTCTCTCTCTCTCCCCCTCTCTCCCCCCCTCTCTCTCTCTCTCTCTCTCTCTCTCTCTCTCTGTGTGTGTGTGTGTGTGTGTGTGTGTGTGTGTGAGGGTGTCATGTGTGTGTGTGTGTGTGTGTGTATGTGTGTGCGTGTGTTGTAAAATGGTCTCACAATGTGCATTTTCTGTCTTCTGATTCGTCAGTTAAATTGAGTGATAATTCTGCATTGTACTGCGCTTAGAGATTTCTGCAATTAGGAGAATACAGTATAACACCGATAGCTTGAATTCGTCGGTAGTTCAAGGGATCCATAGTTCAAAGGATATCTTACAAAGATAAAGAAGAAAAAAACACGGGACCGCAGGCACAGTTTGACCGATGTGTGATTTCATGTTATACAGTATTATTAATAATAATTATTACTATTGTTTTTATTAAGATATGATAAGATAAGATACATCTTTATTGTCCAGATCCTGGCACATCGGTTTGGTGTTTCACCACATACACACATACACACACACACACACACACACACACACACACACACACACACACACACACACACACACACACACACACACACACACACACACACACACACACACACACACACACACACTCACACTCACACACACATGCGCACATGCACGCTTACATTCATAAATGCCTAATATGAATGAACAGTAATGTAAACAACAATAATGTTAAGCTAGATACATAAGCCTATTCAGTATTCTGATTGTAACTCAATGTTATTCTGATGCATGCTCTAAGGTCGTATGAATACTTTTAACAAGATGGTTAAGATGGAAGAAATTTGATGGATGATGGTAAAAATGACCTTCTGTATCTTTGTTTGTAACGGATCAGAAGCAAAGGTCTTTTACTTCTGACTGATGTTTTTATTTGAGGGAACAAGGGATGTTTATTGTAAAAAAAGATGGAATTAATTTTTTTAGTGCTAGCTGTAATGTACAATTCATCCAAGTAGGGGAATGTAGTTGTTGAAATTTTGCATGCTTTCCATATTAATTGATCTATTTTTTTCTTTATCTTGTTTTTGTTATAATTATTATCATTATAATTATTATCATTATAATAATTTATGGTGTACACATAGAATCTGAATTTCCTTCACTCATCAGCTGGACGCAGCCCTCAAACGTCTCCATACCATGGAGAATAACCGACAGCCATGTCGTCTCACCGATGTCATCGCGGGAAGCAGCCCGGCCGTGGCCTTACTCAAGTGGCTGGGGTTCCACTTCCAGGCCAAAGAGGCTGAGCTCACCTGCCCGTATATCGTCTTCCCCCACTGGAACACGGATGAGCTGCTGATCCCGACGTACGACGCCCTCAAGGCTGTTATAGGTGAGTGTTTTGTGGCATAGTGATATAAAATGTGTCGCGACGCAGTGGAATCAGGCGCTCGTCAATTTTTGGGCATGTGGAATTATTGGTATCATCTGAAAGCTGATTTATTTGCCTTTCTTCGTATGAAATAAATATCCATTTGTCTTGAATAGAACTCAAGATATATGCGATTGAAGTTTGGTTTCAGTGGTGAAATTAGCAAGAAAATAGCCACCAAAGTTTGGTAAATCCAATAGCTAAAGAGTCTTTGAAACTGAAAAATCAATGCCTTTAATCAATGTGTTTCAGTAAAATTCACATGAAAATGTGTTTTTATATGGACATAAAAGAGGTTGAGCCAAAAAATAAAAATGTGATAAAAATGTCCAAACTGTCGAAAAAATGCCTGTTTCTAAGATTCCTGTATTTTGACGAGCACCTGATCTCACTACGTTGCCTCACAAATATTGTTGATTTGTCATTAGCACAGCTCTGACCTTTAGGTGATTTGGTGTAAGAGGCAATGACATTTCCTTCGATATGAAATTACTTGTCTCAGGTAAATTTGGCAGCCCACAATGATTTCATAAAGTGCAGTCAAAATATGCATTCATAATGTCACCCTGGCCAGAAGTAGGCCTATGAACATTGGATAAAAACAGTCTGCGTTCTTTGTACTGATACAGACACTGGGTAGATGGAGGATGCTACTTCTAGGTGTAGCATTTTTTTCTTGTCTGTCTGTTGTCTGGGGCTAATATCCTACTTTTGTTGTTGTTTGCAAAACACATGAAAAATGATCATTACATTTATTTAGCTCAAGGATGGTGTGTTTTTTACTAGCCCGTACCGTGGTCTAGTTTACACTTATTTATGTACTGAACTATAGATGTTATGTTTCAGAACTGTCAGCCAGCCCAAAATGTGTGAGTGCTCTCACAGAGGCCTTACCCATCACACAGGACAACATCTCCTGCCTTATTGATCTGGTGAGGAAGACTTTCTCTTTCCTTCTCTCCCCACCCTCCCCCCAGCAACGAAAAAACAACAAACCCCCCCTCCCTCTTTTTATTAAATACAGCTTTTTTCTTTGTGTGTATTGGTTTTTTTTGGTTTGGTTTCTTATTAGAAAAATTTGTTGTCTATGTTTTAAAGAAATACTTTTGTTCTTTTCTTCACTTTTATTTGAGATGTTTGGAGGGCATCTTCTCATGCTCAGCTTTTTCAAGGTGTTTCTTTCATCCAATTTTGACTAAATTCAGCTCTGTGGACAGATTATTTTTATTCATATTTCCGAGACATAACACTTGGTTGAGGATGCTTTCATTTTATTTTTACACCATTTGCCCTGGCAGAGAGATTCAAATTGGGTTTAGGTATTCTTTTGTAAATTGAAATAAAATCTTGTTTGATTTTCATCCATCCCCCTTGAAGAAATTTGGTTAACAGCTTATATACATAAATATGTACCTACATAAATAATGTGATATCAATACAGTTAATGAACTTCCCATATCTGGCTGCCGCTGTGTTGTGCTGCACTGTTTTTTAAAGCTAGGGCTGTTATATCTTTTTAAGGCTATACCCCATTGACTATAGTTACCAAAACATTGTTTCCTCAACATATTCTATGCTTGACAATACTGTCAGTCCGAGATCTCTCTAACCACTTAACCCCTGGAATCCCCTTATATGACTTGCTAGGGTCAGTACATTTAGACTTTGGGAAACGACGTCAAACTAGCTGTCAATCCAAACTTTTATAGAACACATACCCAAGTGCATTCTATATTTGTAGCTTCTTTTCCATTCAAATGTCTATCATCTTAATCTCTCCAACATCGTTTCTGTGTTTGTTACTCTCTTGTAACACCTCTAATCTTCAGCACTTATATAACCTTATTTATTTGTTGCAAGCACAGAAAAACTCTTACTAAAACTTTAAAAAAAAGAATGTCTTTCCCAGATGAGCATCACAAAACACGCGCCGGAGATCCAACTCAAGGTCACTGACTTGTCCGTGCACCCTCTGTGGCACTACACCAAGACGCGGGCATTGCTACAGGCAACAGGCTTCCACCAGGTGGGGCTTCTGCTCACCTTCAACATGATGGCCACACACAAGTGAGTTCACGGGGGTGGGGGGTGGGGGAGGGCAGAATTTAGCCAAAAGGGTTGTAATGTTAGGTCTCGTAACTGACATGTATTATGTACCGTATTCAAACCAACTGGTACAACTGGTGCTTTTTCTGTGTGTCTTGCTTTTTCCCTGCTGTAAAAGGTCTTTATCATGTTAATGGCTTCCCTTTATTAAAACAGACCAAATTTTGTGTCAGTGAGTGTCTTTAAGGTGACTCAAGCAAGACAAACTCTCTATTTATAATTATCTGTCCTTATCTTAGTTAGTGTGACACAACCATCATTTCGTCACATTGCTGCTCTGTCCGTCTTGAAATAACCAACCTCCACCCTGCTCCCCTGTTATGTTACGACTTACTTGAGTCTTGCAGTAGTAGATCTAGATAGTAGTTGATGTTGGTGGGGCCCCACCTGTTCGTCTTCTGGTAGTTCTTGGTTAGCCGATGTTACCCGTTTCAGCTTCAGTGAGTGAGTGACACTTAGATTACCCACGGCTTGCACGAAATCACCTGAGGTCTCAGTCACGTGATATGTCCTTGAGGCCTATGTCACAATAACTACTTTAAAGGTGCGTTCACACTACATGTCCTATTCTTAAGGTGCGGTTTCACCTGTGAACTGATAACTCAGTTAACATAAAATATGTGTTATGATACAATAGAATCAGGTGCTCGTCATTTTTCGGGTATGTGGAGTTATTGGTATACTTTTAAAGCCTGTTCATTTACCTTGCTTTCCATTTTCAGTGGGAAAAATACCCATCTATCTTGAATAATAATCGAGATATTTGCTAATAAAGGAGGAGGGAGTTGCTTCGTGTGAGAGGTAAAATTTGTAAGGAAATGACCTAAAAGGTTTGGTGACTTTCAGAGGCCGAGTGTCCTTGAAAGCTGCAACATCAACATTTTTCAGCAGAATCCACACAGGAACATCTTTTTAATTGGTGTAAAAGGTGTTGTGTCCCAAACAAAAAAATTAGTAAAAATTTGCCCACCAGGCAGAAAAATGTTGATTTCTTTGATGTCATTAATTTAACGAGCACCTGCTTTCACCGGGATGCCTCACATATATATATGTGAATAACCCTAGTTAAAATTCTTGAATTTGGATTCTTTGGTGAGTATTCAAGGCTCGTTATTTACTTTGATCAACCCAGTTAGACATCGATGTTGAAGTAAGAGATAGATATTGTCTATTAAATAACCTTACTTAAAGTGTTGAAAAGAGCATTGAACACATATAATCATCCCCCCC